ATAATTGTGGAATCCTTACATAATAGAGAGATGGAATGAAAGGGAGAGAGTTTCAAGTCACATTGTGAAAATTAGAGTTAAGCTTTAGAGTACAATATCTTGAACAGGTTTTATAAATATAGCTTGCCAATTACAGAGCTTTAAATTTTTATATGCTGCTCAGGATGAATAATTAACTGGCTGAAATCTATGGCTAATTGTATTTTCATTTAATTTGACTTTTCAAGCGCAAATGTTACATGCTAGTTTTATACTAATGATTACCCATTTCTGTGCACATCTAGGTGGCTGCTATAAGAAAGTCTAACATCATCCTTTCAGCTATAAGGGAATCTGGTAAGTCAAGCACCAACTACTGCTTTGCAAATTCTCTCCACCCTAAAGAGCTCTGTGAAAATAAAATCTAATGGCTCAGGATGCTGTAGGGGTTTTCCTCTCTACATTCTCCTCCTCTGTCTAGGTACAGAGCTGGAGTAATTCTTCAAACTCTGTTTCAAAAACAACATACAGGCTGAGGAATGAGGCTGCAAATTACATAACGGTCAACTACATTAAACTATTGTGCTTCCATCTATCTTCTACCAGCTGTTCACAATGATTATAATTTAGAATGTACTTACAGTCATCTGTTTATTTTTCCCCTTCTGTTGCATTTTAACACTGCCTTTATTTTTTTTTTTAATAGTTGAGCTCTAAGGAAGAAAATACGTTTGCAATTTTCTGAGCTGGATTGGTATTTTTTCTTTCCACCCGAATTTTAGATATTTTGCAGTACATTTGCTATTAGCAGTAATACAGTGGAATCAGCAGCTTGATGTCAAGCATTTGCTTAGCCATTTCCTCAGCATTTGAGTTTCAGTGCTGTAAGGTCACCTGGGACTACAGCGGACTGGAGTGTGTTGTCTAATTATACAAAACCATAAATTGTCATGGCCTGTCACCTCATGGTGACACCAAATTTTGTTCAAGAGCACAATTTATCAATTAGGTGGTGCTGCTGTTTCAGCCAGGACGAGAAGAGATAAAATACGTATGAGGTCAGGTTTTTTAAATATGTACTCAAAGAATTATAAAATAGGGGCTATTCAAATGGGAAGTAAGCATATAGATCTTGAATTTACTCACTGAATTGTCATAGTGCCATTCACACAAATCATTAAAAAAAAAGTTTAAAGCTGGCTTCCATTACTTAATTGCACATAAATCCACATATTTTCATTTTAAATTGTTCAATGTGGTAAGTCCCTTTTCTAGTTAGATCTATATGAATACAGACAGATGTATGTCCATAGATATGTTTGAGTAGCAGTGTGCTACTGCTCAAGGGTGAGGTGAATAGGAAGGGCTTTCTTTCAGCACAAGCCATCTGGAAGTCATGGCTTTTGTCCTTTTAAACCTGCTGCATTCTCCACAGACCAAACCAGGTTTTTCCCAGGCGCAGCCCAGCGCAGGCACCTGACAAGGAGACCTCAGAGCAGGCCAGATCTCTAGCTTAGTCACCCACATGCTGATGCTGCAACTCCCCGCTTTTGCTTTCCCATTCTACCACACCAGCAAGGGACCCTGGTGAAGCCCCAGGTGCTGGTGCTTTCCAAGACACAGCAGTTTCCAGGGAGCAGCTCCCTATTTTCACCTTCCTAAAACACCCTTTCAGTGCTCTGCCACTTTAGATCTTTTAGATCTTTTTTGTCTTTTAAATTCCGACTCCTTCACACAGGGGATCTCAAGTGCATACAGGTATTTGTTGATAAGGAGGCAGAGATTTCCTGTAGCCTTTTACTTCAGCCTGCAGGACTATGAATACTCTTATTTTTCTGTGAAATCAGTAACAGTTTAGGTGTTCATACTAAGAAATATTATGTATATATACCTTACTTTAATATAAGATTGAGTACATTATTTACCAGGCATTTTTCAAGGCACCATTGTCATCCCAGAAGCTGATATTGTTATTGACTGTGTTCCTACAGAACCCACTGGCGTTTAATTTGTATAGCTCAAAAGGAGAAAAATAAATAAGCTTCTGTGATCCAGGTTCAAGGATCATATGATCCAGGTTCAACTTCTTTAATGTTCCCTGATACAACTGCATGCTAAGCTTATGCTCAGGCAACAGATATGGAGCATAATTCAAGAAATTAAGCTACAAATATCACCTTCAACTTGGATACATTAAAAGAGTAAAGCATATTCAATGAATATAAGACTCTTTTTTTAAGATATTAAAAGCCTCTTTTGCGTAGGTGCATCCCAAGAAACCTATACTCTGTTGCCGTGGGAAATATAACTTTGATTTTCAGCTCCTGTGTTTAAATTCTGAACTGTACTGTCCTATTAACATAATTTGTGGATTTAATTTTCTCTATTAAAGAAATGATATGAAGTTGATTACACTTCCATAAATACTCATTCAAAGATGCCTTTTCAATTTTCAACTCAAACATCACATTAATGTTTTACACATTCCTTCCTTATATTTTTTTCCTCTCTCTAAGTTTCTTCCACTCTCTTTTCCATGAATATGGGTGACGATAAAGCATTTATCAGTTGCTCTTGTTTGCTGAAGAGATGGTTGTTCCAGTGGAGGAACTCAATTTTCATACATTACAATTACTTAGGATTGTTACTAATGTATGATAATGTAAGGAAAGTGTAGTCTTGTTCAATATCTTGGGAGGAGTCATTTTATATCATTAAGTTACAATATCATCACTTTGTACAAATTCCGTAAAACTATTGCCACCTGATTATTTGAACATAAAGGAATGGAAAAATGGCCAGATGTCTTCTAAGTACAATATATATGTGTTTGTGCTTGCCTGTATTTAGCATCGTCACTATCCCTGTCTCCGTGCCTTCTCCATCACCACTGTACATAGATACTACAGCAAAAACTGTAGTGTCTCCAATGTCAAGGTAGTAACTCATGAGAATTAATCCAGAAATAGTTTAAATTGAACTCTAGCCTGCCTGAATGCCCATAAAACCTATGGATGTGGTAATGCATCTCAGTAAATATGCTAAACGCACACAAAATTCGAGGCACAACAGTGACTTTACCATAAGAGTTGAATATGCAGAGATGGAACTTAACAGCGTACAAATATTTGGAAAGGCTTTAAAATGGTGGGTTGTGCTTTGGTTTGAAATCCCATTAAAGTGGTGCCTAGACACAGGTACACAGAGCGGTGGCAGAACTTTCTCTTCATGTAATAAGGCATGTGAGCATTTCCATTCAGCACTGGCCCTGTCTTGGAGTCTCCCACGGGGTTTTCCAAGGTGCTGGCAGCTTTTACTCCTGTTAAAATCAATAGCAGTTGGGGATTTCAACCTTTTTGCAAGCTTTTCATGCCAGCTTTACTCAGTGCAGCCCAAATTGGTATCTATAAAAGGGGAAGAAAAACAGTTAGGAACTACATTTTTACTAGGCTTTTAAAGGAAGTTGAGAATGGACATTAGAGAACAGAGAGCCTAATTTCTCAGAGAGACTGAATTGTCCAGCGGTAAAGTCAACTATCCAAGCTAAGAACTGCTTTGTTTGGTATGAGGTCCATGTGTGACTCATTTGTTCATCAGTTTTGACTTAAGTGTTTGCATATAGAAATGGCATTAAAGAAAGTCTGTTCAAAGCTTCAAACATTTTTGCCATGCCAATGCAGAGTGCTGCTGCGTTGGAATTCACCACTCTCCTGAACTAATGACAACAGTGGTTTACAAGGTGCAGAAAGGCATCACCTCCTTCTTGGAGCCAAGGTCCATTCTGGTTAACGGGACACACATTTTGGATTGTACTCCTTTGCAGATAGGGTCCAGCTGGTAGGAAATCAGTTGAATTCTTTCATCTATATTTGGTTCTTGAACATGCCTGTGCCGAGGTATGCTCACCCCATGTGCTTCACAGAAAAGCACTACTGTTTGTATTTTGAGAACTATTCTCATCTGCTTCTTTGCAACTGAGTGGGTTTGCTGTCTATTACTAACATAGTGTCTGAAAATTAAAACTATCAAAATATCCTGGTAATTTCAAATTGTTAGGTTTAATATCACAGCTGAGTGCAAGGAGGAGAATCGTATCATTTTCTCGTGACGGAAAAGAGAACAATAGGACGTTCCCGCTGTGGGAAAGCTCTGCTTATTGCTGCATAACAGAGAGGAACTGCATGTTCTGCAGCGAAGGCTCCCCAGAGAAGCAGCTCTCCAGAGTTAGCTTGGTTCCTCCCTAGATTATTTAATACTCGGTTTGTTTCTGGGATAACAGGGATAGGAGGAAGATCACTTCTAAGAAACCCCTTTCTTGACAGGATGTGAACAGCATAACCACCAGTTTCGTATTCCATTCAAACTGTCAGTAGGCAGCCAACTTATAATTGCTAACAACAAAAATGATGGACGTTATCATTTCTGTTGGAAAAAAAAAAAAAAAGAAGACGACAACTCTTGCTGTGATTTTTGTTTCCATGTCTTGCTGTTTGATGAATGTTCGTAGCCGTGGCACATAAAGACTACTCCTTATCCCTTATCCAAAGTCTTTGAAATAAAGTTTGCATTAGCCCTTCCACTGGAGGCTCCGGGAGAGAACAGAGATGTCAGGCGGCTCGTTTCTCAAGGCACTATTACAGCATGGCTTCCATTCAGAGCCGTTGCTTTCTATTATGGTTGCTATTTACAGTGGCTCTGAGCACCTGTGCTGCCCAAGTGATAACTGTAAATGACAGAGCTGCGTCCCCTACAAGCCCGCAGCCTTATCTGCCTCTGTTTTATGGGCAAATATGCAGTGTGTCATGCAAGCCAGTATTAGCTTAATGCAGATATTCCAAAATACAATAAAGTCTTGATGACATTTACTTAGGTAATCAGCCGATCTGATTTTTTTACATGTATTTATTCATCGCCAAACTCAGCCCTTTGCTTCTCTGAGGCGGTCGCAAAGCGGTTGCAAAGCCACTTCGGATCCTAGCTAATTAGTTCTTTCTCCTTCTCCCATTTGTTTTCTCCCTCACCTCTCCCTGGCTGCGCGTCCTGCCAAACGCACAGTTGCGACTTCCCTCGCAGCAGCGCTGGAGGTGGCTCCAGCGGGTGGCAGCTTCAGCCCGGCAGTGCCTTCCGAAAGGCAACTCCTGTCTTTGCAGGCTGCTTCCGCAGCGCCGCTCCCTCCGCGGCTTCCTCGGGAAAGCCAAGGAGAAAGGACCTGCCGGGCTTGCGCGTTTCCTGGGGACGCTTCTGAGCTGGGCAGAAAGAGGAAAAAAACAGAATCATGAAGACTGCACAGCACAGTAGCTGCCTCGCTCATGCAAGCGCATGATGCAAAGAAAACTCTCTGCAAGCAAGGAATAAGATACAAAACTTGGAGAAACTCCTTGCTGCTGACAACGGTCATATTGTTTCCAGGGTGGATGTACCAGAAAGAGAGAATTAATTTAAACCACGTCTAAAATACAGTAACTTCAAACTCCCAGCTTTAAATAGATTTTCCCCCTGTTCTTCTGACCTTTCTTAGTGTAATGCTGTTCTGTTCAGTCGCTAGGTTTTTACATTTACATAAAACCTTCCAACAGTAAATTAAGCTAGGTGGCTAAAATCGCTTATCTCTAGTTTGTTTTCTCTTTCTTAATTCCATCCCATCCTCAAGAAATGGAGGGGCAGAGTGGCTGGCAACAAGGAGAAAGAAAAACTCCCAGCACAGTATTTGTGACACGTCTCAAATTCACAAGTGCCACAGTCAGTTCTTGTAAAAAACGCTCCGGCCTCATGTTTGTAGACCAATTTCTGGACACAAAAAAATACATTGGTTAATGGATGAATTTTTTTCCCATAAAGTATGGCAATTTTTGATAGAAACAATTTTAAAAGCCATAATTATTATTACTATTACTATTATTATTAGTGTGAAATTCGTTGTATCTGATCATCCAATAATGTGGGCTAGCAGACGTTTCCCTGAGCATATATCCTTCTGATTCACCAGAGAAATGGTGCTACACGACAAGAACATGGAGCGGGTGAGAGCCACGCGTTTCCGCAGGCAGAGCATGAGCAGGTCGGCTAGGGACGGGCAGCAGCTGGAGCGCACCCACAGCGCGAGGGAACGGGGCTGCATTTCGGCAGCGTGCGCGCGCTGCAGGGGCGCGCGGCTGAGATCCGGCAGAGCGGAGGGTCCGGGGGCCACGAGCCGAGGTGCCGAGCTGGGTGCGCCGCGCGGCCGCGCTCCGGGCGCGAGCTCTTGGAGCAAGTTCAGCTGGTGGCGAGGCCAAAAGGTACAACGCGGTGTTGGGCCACCTCAGCAGCCGTCCATCATGCAGCACATCTTTGCCCCAGCACCTTTGCTCTGCATTGCCCTGCTGCGAGATGACAAATAATTCTGGCACTGCTGTGTCCTACTGCATGAGTTGTTGCTTCTTCCGGCTGCTGCTTCCTACTTTTGCTCCAGCAGGGCAACGAGTAGCGTGACTGGCAAGGAGCAATGTAACAACCTTGTATGGCTCTTCCACGTATGAAAGTGAGGCCAAATGACTCCTGCCGGTGCTCCGCTCCCATCGGGAAAATAACAATCCCTGTCATGCAGATTATAAGGAATACACTTCAAAGGAAGAATGAACAGCAGTGCCAAAATTCCCTTCGCTTTCTGTTTTTACCCAGTCCTGTATTTACAAGTGTGCATGAAATGCTGCTGAACATCTTTTAGCACAGTTGTTTCACTTGGGCGAGTGCGTTTCCTGTAGCCCCTGGCTCGGAGTATTCCCCCAGCTGCCCCAGCACGCTTGTCCAGCCGCAGTGATCCCATTTGCACCTGGAACCACAGAGCTGCAGGATGGGAGGAGCTGACACTTTGAGAGACGCAGGGTCTTGCGGGTCTGGTCCCGCCGATTCCTCAGCTCCAGAAAGGCCCTGCCTTGGTGCTAAGCAGACTGAAGTACATATTTTGCTCTATACTTCATAGGTTGATTATTTGTCGAGTGATTTGCATTGTGGAAAAGTCAGGTGAACATCCCGTCTCCCTCATACAGGGGAAAGTTACAGTTATTTTTGTGCCTCCTTTTTGGTTATTAACAGTGTTTGGCACCTTCCACGTTGCTCTGTGCTTCCACGGCATTTTCATCTGCAAGCACTCCTCAGCTTTCAGCTCCCCCTCTTTCCTCTGTTCTGTCAGCTAATTAAACACATAAACCTGTGAGAAAGCCAC